CCCAGCTTAGCGACCGCCCAGAACAGCATAAAATGTGTACAAAGAGGGTCCGCCGGGGTGGCAGCGTAACCGAGGCCGTTGCAATATGGAGCTCGGCCGGAGTCCTCCCCCAGACACATCGTACCATAATACGGAGTTGGCCAGGGTTGGCCCCAATAGTCAAAAATATGCTTTTGGAGAGCACAGAGTTTCTGTTGAGCTGGAGCCTGACTCCTATGCTTTAGGTACCAAGCAACACCATAAGTGTCTTGATTCGTCTGTCTTATCTTTGCGCCGTCTGACTTTGCGCCATTGGTCTCAGCGTGTGGTATACGAGTTCTGCTACGCCGCGGCTCCTTCTATAATACTTCTAGTATTATGCAGCAAAAAGTTGGGATGGTCGGTTAAAGTTTGCTAGGTAGTTTTCAAAACCGGGCCCCGCCGAATAGGAAGAGAATATGGGGGAGCTCGGATGGATTTCCGGCCCCTATCGTACGCCAGAGTCGACGGCTTCTCCCCAAGTGGGAATTTAGCCAATTTTCCTGAATATTTCTTACCCTAACACTACCTAATACTGATGCCCCGATCCCCGAAGAGCATTTCGGTCGCCTCTAGCACTTATGGAATAGTGTCAACGGCTTAGACTATATACGGACGCTAGAACCCCGGACGCCCATGTGCAATGTGGGATCTCGTCGTCCAATCTACCGCTGTTGGCGGACATCGCTGGGCGGGCGTTTCAAGTTGGCAATGACTCGGGGCAGACCAAGGCCCCTAGCCCATCCCTAGTCTCAGCCGAAATCAGATCATTGTTGCGATTTGTCCCAAAGTTCCAGCGCGCCGGGCTCAATGTCACGATGATGAATAAGACTGCTTGCGAACCGCTGATCACAACTGTATCGGGCACGAAAAATTCCCACATCGAAAGGTTCCATATTATACGGGTGTGCCTCTCTGTGCCGTCGCCGCCGCCCATAAGCCTTTTCAGCCTTAAGTGATCAAGGACACCCTTGATCAGATCTCCACGAGATCCGCCCTACCAAGTTCCTGGGTCACTCGACTCAGACAATGCAGATCTCTCCGTGAGAATCTCTGGGATAAACATGGACAGCGACGACAGAAGTGGCCGCCTGCTGGCCTCGTGTTGGTCGCTGGTGGGAGCCAGTGCTGTGTTCTTGTCGTTGAGGATATACTGCAAGCTATGGCGAGGAAAGGGTTTGTGGTGGGACGACCACACGATGATTATCAGCTGGGTAGGTCAAGCCGCGAGCTTTGAAAGCAACAGGGAAAGATTTGTTCTTCTAACATTTGAATCTGTGCTCGGCAGTTTTCATTGACAGTCGCCGTCTCGCTACTGAGTTACATTGTCACCCTCGGATTCGGCAAACACCAGTCGACGATAGATCATGAGGATCTCAAGATTATCAACATCAACACAATCTTGGTCGCAGCTTTTGGCATCATCTCGACATGCGTCAGCAAAACGTCCTTTGCGCTGACTCTATACCGAATCATAATCAACAAGTGGATGAGGTGGTTCCTTCTCTTTGTCATTATTACCATCAACGTATCGATGAATCTCGTCTGGATTTTTGGATTCGCGAAATGTACGCCCGTCGAAAGGGTCTGGGATAGTACTGTGGAGGGAAAATGCTGGGATAAACAGGCACTGTTGAAGTACCAGCTTTTTGCGGCTTGTGAGTCTGAGGAAATGACCTGGAGAATTGAGCCAACGACTGACAGCAATTTTACAGACTACTCGTCGATTCTGGATTTTGTACTGGCGTTCCTTCCGTGGAAGATTTTGATGGCCATGTCAATGCTTCTTCGCGAAAAGTTTGGAGTGGCTGTTGCGATGAGCTTGGGTGCCATGTAAGAAGCAGGAAAGATCAACTCTGCGCTTGAACATAGACTGACTGTACTTACAGCGCCGGTGTATGCGGAATCGTCAAAGCGGTCATGGTTGTTAGCATGACGAGCACAGATATCACGTATGACCGTGTCGACCTCACAATCTGGACGCTCACCGAGCCTGCCGTCACGATCATGGCAGCCTGCATCCCAGTTTTGTAAGTTGCCGCCTTGAGAAGCACCACTAGAACAAGATTCCTAACAACATTCTAGGCGTATGCTTTATCGCGAACTGAAATCCAGCCATCGCAGTTATATGCAGCAGCGATCGACTGGAAATCGATACCACCAGGGCACCGAATCCACGAACATCGACAAGACGAAACGGAGCACAAAATACCGACACCATGGGTACGGCCGGAACTCGGTACTCATCATGTCAACAAACGGATGGCAGGAATCACAAGAGGCACTCCAGGATACCCCGTCGAGCCACACTGACAGGCCACCCAAGACGGCGGGTATAGTTAAGACTGCAGAAGTCAACGTGACGAGCCATCGCGTCAGCAAGATGACTGACGGAGACTCGTTCGAGCTGGCATCCATGGAGTCGGCCTACACGAAAACAAGTGGACGACATGCTGAAGTTCCCGAAGCCGGGTTTTACACGGCACAATAGTTTTAGAATATTCCATTTCTGTACATGATACCAATTTGACGTTTTTCAAGCAAAGGTCACACTGAGCTCGGCTATCTGAAATCTTCTTTTCTGCAAAATATCGTGACAACCTCGGAGTATGTGTCCACGACTGGAATACGAAAAACCCGAACAATTCTTCGGAAGGGATAGGGAAAATCCCTCAAAGCATTTCCGGGAATTCATGCCCAGCCTCTAGAGTCAGTCCCATGGGCATGGCGCCATCCGTAGTCCCTTGGAACTCCAAACAACCCAGTGCCATCCCTACTGCAGCTACAGGGGTCGCGGAACATACATAGACGAGAAACGTCCCCTGCGATTTGTAAAGTATTGCCCCGTCCTCTTACTTTACTATGAGCCCCGATTTGCAGCCTGCCCACAATAGACCTGGCGGCGGGAGGCAATAGCATAATAGCTGGATCGATATCATGTCAGGTTACGCGGCGGCCCCAATACCATCGGCAAATCCGCCGAATCAGCTGTTTCCAGTCTCGGGGTATTGTAAACTCCCCGGCGCCACACCGTTGGACGTGGACTCGGGCAGTCCTGACTATTCATGACTAAGGCACTGGCGGACCGATGGCCAATGTCGCCTATGAGGCTGTACGGCACAGCTTACGGAGAATTGCAGGGGAATATACCAAGCTATCGATTTTTATTGTCAGGAGCTGTAATGCTATCGATTCTGAAGTCGTCCGGATCTGTCATGCTGCGCCGTCAGCCCGTACGCCCATCTGCCGTCCCTGCATCTTCAACCTGTTAGCCCGAAGCACAACAGATAGCCGACAACCTACCAAGCCGGGAGTTCACGTGTTTTCGGTCTTGGGAACGACGATCGAAGAGACGATCGCCGAGCAGATCGACAGGTTTATTGAAGGTTGTTCCTGTCCAGCACGGCGGAAGCAGAGCATACCGACCCTGATTCAGGAATAGCCGCAGTTGGCAGAGACCCTAGGATCTCGCTCTGCAGGTGGGTGGGCTTTGAGGTAGTCTAAATTGTGCACCAACTGCATTAATTGGGGCCCATCCTCGGACGGGTTCAAAATTAGGGAACTCGACTAAACCTCTTTGCACCTCTCCATAATTGGTCCTGTGGCGAATCAGAAAAATACTCCATAATGAATTGCTACTATTATGGTGGAACTCGACCATCGTGTTGCGAGGATGGCCAGGACGTTCCTTTATATACCGGCTGGCCGTGGATAGGCAGAGGTATAAGGTAGTGATCGGCATCCTCTCGTTCCGCTGACCACTGGCACTCTTTTAAGGCGGCAGCACACTGTTCCTCATCTATCTCTTACATTAGTTTGGGGTTTTTGTTTTTTGAACTTTAATTCACAATGCCTGGATTCAAGTCCAACATCCTCTTGGCCGCGCTGGCTGGCGTGGCCTTGGCCGGCGGCCACGGTGGTCACGGCTCTAAGCCGTCAAAGCGCGGGTGCACAACGCCCACGGCGAACCTGAGGAACGGAACATACATCGGTGTCACGGACTCTGTCAACGACCAGGAGTACTTCTTGGGCATGCCCTATGCCCAAGCACCGACAGGCTCGCTTCGGTTCGCGGCGCCTCAGCCATTGCAGACTTCGTTCTCGGAGCCGAGGTCTGCCACCCAGTACGGCAAGGCTTGTATTGGATACGGTTCAGACACGACGAACCTTGGAACCGGACAGGGCGCCGTGCTCCTGAACGAGGGCAAGTTCGCGCGCGTGCCCCTGCTGTTGGGCAACAACTTTGACGAGGGCACGGCCTACGCCAAGACGGGCATCAACACGACCGAGCAGTTCCAGTCCTACCTGTCCAGCCTGGGCCTGGGCGCGGACCAGGTCGCCAGCATCACGGAGCTGTACCCCGACGACCTCTCCGTCGGCATCCCGGCCTCGTACCCCGACCGCCCCGCGGCCTACCCCTACGGCCTGCAGTACAAGCGCGTCGCCGCGTTCGCCGGCCACTATCAGCAGCACGCTGGTAGGCGCCACCTGGCCGAGTCGTACGCCGGCGCTGGGCTGTGCGTCTACTCGTACCTATGGAACGTGTACGTCAACGGCATCGCGGCCATCTACGGCGCGACGCACTTCCAAGAGGTGGCCTTTGTCTTTGACAACACCGACGGCCTGGGCTACGCGACGAACCCGTTCGAGGGCAAGCCCGAGACCTTCAAGACGCTGGCCGACCTCATGAGCAAGATGTGGGTGTCGTTCATGCACGGCGCCGACCCCAACCTGGGCGCCTCGGAGACCGTCCAGAGTGTCGCCTGGCCCCGGTACACGCTCGACGCGCCCGACAACCTCGTCTTCGACGTCAACGCCACCGGGCTGTCCTACGTCGCCGAAGACAACTACCGCAAGGAGAACATTGCCTATCTGCTCGACAGCGTCTTCGTGTAAGAAGCATCGACCCGCGAAAGGCAATGAATGAAATGCAGCCGCGCCATGGCGGCACCTCGTATACACTGACAGTGTCGACATGATACTGTAGGTCAACAATCAAAAACAAAAACAAAAAAGAAGCTTTATGCGGCCACAGATGCACCCTGGACAGGGGCATCGCAGTATGGTACTCGGGAATATATTGAGTACCTGCAGCTAATACCATATCCGCCAGGTGGCTGAACTCTCCCAGCTACGTCACGTCACGTAAGAAGTTGTTAGAGCCCGGGCCACGCGGTGGAAGCTCCCTTTGGCAGCAAAAAGGAGATTCTGGTGTGACTAATACACAAGTGGGAAAAAGGACAAAGGGTGTCTACGTCTCTCTTTGAGGGCGGGAATAAAAAGCAGAAATGCATTCTCGCACCCTAGGCCGCGGTGCTTTTGTCTCATCGGCTGTTTCTGCTACTGTGACCAGAAGACTGCCCACGAGACATGGAAGGGTTGCTGCCGCTGCCGCTGCGACTGTCGGCCGTCGCTGCTACTCCATGGCTGTCGATGATGGAATCTCAAATCTGCCCTTGGCGGGCTATCGCGTGTTGGATATGACAAGAGTCCTGGCTGGGGTGAGTTTCTGCCCTTTGCTCATATATTTTCCGTTTGCAGTTTCTGTTTGAAGGACCTGAAGGAACTAGCCAATGCTATGAGCCGGTGGTCGAATATCACCAGCCTGCGAGCTGAAGCAGCAAAAAGCAACAAGGGCATAGAATAAACTGCATGGGCGATTGTTGACTTGGACTTTACAGCCATACTGTACGCAGATCCTGGGCGACCTTGGGTAAGTTGCATGTCAAACCTGTCAGGTACTTCCGCAAAAGCTGCATGCCATTTTGCTCACGCCTTACAAAGCGCCGAAGTGATCAAGATTGAGCATCCCACGCGGGGAGACGACACGCGGGCATGGAGGCCACCTTATGCGTCTTACAGTTCCGACTCACAGCTGCAGGGTCCGGGAGAGTCGGCATACTTCCTCGCCGTGAACCGCAACAAGAAGTCTCTTGGCCTGTCGTTTCAGCACCTCGAAGGCGTTGAGATTCTGCACGAGCTCGCTGCGAAATGCGATGTCCTCGTTGAGAATTATCTACCCGGTAGCCTGGCCAAGTACAACATGGACTATGCCACGTTACGCAAGATCAACCCAGGCCTGATCTATGCGAGTATCACGGGCTATGGTCGGACTGGCCCGTATTCCAGCCGGGCTGGCTACGATGTCATGGTGGAAGCCGAGTTTGGCCTGATGCATATCACTGGCAGCCGAGATGGGCCTCCGGTCAAGCTGGGCGTCGCTGTCACCGATCTGACCACCGGCCTGTACACATCCAACTCCATCATGGCAGCCCTGCTCGCGAGAGGAAAGACGGGAAGAGGTCAGCATATTGATGTGGCTCTCAGCGACTGCCAGACCGCAACGCTCGCCAACATTGCAAGCAGTTGTCTGATCAACGGGAAGAAAGACTCCGGAAGGTGGGGGACGGCACATCGTGAGTTGAACCACCTGCATGGGGTGTAAAGCCTGAGTGAGACACTGACCGAGACAGCATCGATCGTCCCCTACAAGTCATTCAAGACAAGCGACGGTGATATCTTGCTAGGGGGTGGTAATGACCGCCTGTTTGGAATCCTGTGTGACGGTGTGGGACGTCCAGAGTGGAAGACGGACCCCAAGTACACAGTCAACGCCCAAAGAGTTGCCAATCGTGTCGAGCTTGAAGGGCAGATCGAGGCGATCACGACCCAGAAGACGACGCAGGAATGGCTAGAGGTGTTCGAGGGCTCGGGTATGCCATATGCGGCCGTCAATGACGTGCAGGGAACGCTCCAGCACGAGCACGCGCTTGCGAAGAACATAGTTGTCGAGATAGAGCACGACCAATGCGGTCCCATCAAGATGGTCAACACGCCTGTTAAATATAGCGAAAGCGAGCCCAGGATCCGCACTCCTCCTCCGACCTTGGGTCAGCATACGGATGAAGTGCTGCGCGATGTATTGGGATTCGAGCGCCGCATTCAAGGAGAAAGGCGCCGTCCGGTGATAGATGATGAGCAAATATCCTTCTGCCCGTTTGTCTGTACGCTAAAAGTGTGGTGATCATACAAAATTTCGATTTGCATTGGACATGACGTCGATTTTTGCGAGGTCATGAATCCTTTGGTAGCGCATGGCACAGATTAGGAATAGTTGTCGCAGGTCCGAATCCGCACAGCCGAGAGGGATCGCGGCAGGGGGGAAAAAACAAACCCTGTGAATGTGCACATCTGTACATCCTGTAGCTGAGTTGCACCAAAAAATGAAGCCAGCAGGGTTTACCTAGTTGTGCCCTGCGTAAATATTTGTTTGCCATGTATGTGATAGAGCCTGCATTCCAAGGAAATGCATTGCGTTTGCATGCTTTCGGCTGCGGTGAGGCGTCGTCTGTTCGCTGGAGTCGTGCCCTTTACCTGAAGCTGAAGTTGGACCTGAACCAATCAGGTGCACAGGGGGGCATTGCATAGCTGTGCGCTGCAAGAGGCTTCAACCTTCTTCAGGATATGTCGTTTTGACGGATTGACACATGCGCAATAAGCAAAAAGTCAATATAATGACAAGTGCGAGAATGGGCTGATGGTCGGTCAATTACTGATCAACCTCGCGAAAGGCATCCTCAATCCGAAATCCTTTCGGTGTGGGGGGGGGGGGGGGGTTGGTTCCTTCCCGCAACTTGGGGAAAATGCCATGCGCCTTCCAATTCGTACTGGAACAGGTGCTTGGCGTTTAATTATTTTCTTTCGGTGCATATGTGTAGCATTGCAGCACTTCAATGTCGTTGGAGCTTGGGAGGGGCTTTTTCATCCCTGCAATTATTCTGTAACTGGGCAGTAAAGGCAGGGCAATCATGAAAGATCGCTAGAGGGACGGACGCATGGAAGGACCCCAACTGCCAACCCAATTGCCCCAACTGAGAGCATCGGCCCAATAAGTCCCCGCAAGCGCGTTTGCCCTTGGCTTTAGCCCTCCCGCTTAGCCCGCAGCGGCGGTAGATCGTCGCACTCTGGGATCCCATCCCATCGCTGCTATCCTACTCTTTATTTCGAGCGAGAAGGGCGAAAGGACGAGAGTCAGAAGAGATCGTCCCATTGCCGGCTGCTGTTATGCGCATTTTGACTTTGGACTCTATAACAAGGTTTGCCCTTCTCGTCAGGGAGGTTGTGCACCCTTGATCTTCAATGCTCTCCATTCTGGGCCAATTATAGCATCGGCATGCCCCATTGAAAACACGAGGAATGATGCCTAGTGGAACGTTTTGTGGTCCAGGAAAGAAGAACCGGCCCCTCCAAAAAAAAAAAAAAAAAAAAAAAAAGGTTCGTTTTCTTATTCCTCGAAAAGACAGCCGACAGCGATTCTCAGTGCTTACCTCTGCTTACCTTAGACGAGGTTCCAAATCTTGACTCCCCGACTGATCCAGTGGACAATACGGGATCCCCGGTGCCGCACCGAGACATATATGAGTAAAATTTTATGTTCTGGTGTAGTCTTTTTCCGCTTGGGCTGCGCGGCCCTCGCGCATGGGTAATTCAGATTGGCTGGCTGGTTCGGCCACATGGGACGCTCTACCCGGTCTGGATTGGGGCGCGTCAACGGGCTGTCTCGTATGCCCCGGCTCCCTCTTCATGCATGCAATGCATTGCGATAACAGTCATTGATCTGCTCGCTCGCTCGCTCCCTCGGTCAGCCTATATTACGTACCCCGGGAACCAATAATGCTGTGCAACCACTAGTATACGGCACCGCGACGCGAGTTCTGTATGGTGGTATGGTATGTTAAAGAGTGGGGCGGGCTGACTGGCGTTGATTGAGTATTCGGAATTCCAGATTCATAAGTTGTTGGGGTCTCCCGCTCCCTCGTCACAGCCTGTACCGTAGGTCTTTGCGCCCGTTCCGCTGGGATCTTCTTTTTGCAACCTAACTTTCCATCCCCTCTCGCCGGGTGGACTGCCTTAGTTCGAACCGTTATATCTGTTCATATATATATCCATTAACTTCATTCTTACCCACCCTTGGCCGGGATGGCGCCCTAATTATAGCCAAACAGGAACTCTCTGTCCACCGGGATGTATTTCTTACATAAACGTGGAGAGGATCTATCACTCTCGACATGGACCATTGTGGCCATCATTATAGCTGTGTTGGTCGTCGCTTCGATAGTAGCCTTCACAGCATTATATGTCATGAGACGGAGGCGGTCCCCCAAAGAGGATCTGCCCATCATTAGCAGTCGACACCAGGTCGACCGGAAGCGAAAGACCATGACTCCAGAAGAAAGGCAACAGGCCGAGGAAACAGAGCGCAGCTTCATGATTCGCAAGTCTCTCGCCAGCCGATCGACTCTTCACAGCATCGCCTCGCGAGACACACACATGCTCGACACTGCACGGAGCTCTCGCGTGGTGGATGATGACGACGAACACCCCGAGGTACCGGAGCTTCCGACGATCGTCGGTGATTGGAAAGAATGGGAAGCTCAGGCACAGGCGGGCAGGACGAACTCGAGGCCTGGAGAGCTCTCCGCTGGGGGAGAAACGCATCCCGCCTTGGTACAGGAGCTGGAGGATTTACAGATCCCGGCACAAATTAGAACATCATCGCCATCACGAGACACCAAGAACGCCATACAGCTGTCCCATCTGCCGTCACTTTCGCCACCAACATCACCGTCATCATAAGCAGTGGCATCATCACTTTCTCGCGGCGCTCAAAAGGGATTTGATTTAGGGCGTTTGGAGTTCGCTCATAGCGAAAAGCACATTGGTGATTTGTTCTCATTTTTGATTAACGTTTGGAAGAAGGACAAGACTTCACTACATGATCTGGTAGTCGTGGGTAGCTTCGGCGTTGTTTGGCTCATACGTCGTGTTAAGCGTTAGCGTTGAAACGGGGAAGCGAGGACGGGCTGTTGTGATTTATTGGCACATAAGATCGAACGTGCACTTGCAGGCTGCAGCTAACGACTGCATGTTAATGACAATGTTAAATGAATATACCCATATTGTGCACACCTCGACTTATTGTGCGAACAAAGTCGCATTCCAACTGTGGACATTTCCTGTCGAGTACGTGAGGACGAGTTGGTACAGTGTTTATAGTCACAGCTGCAGAGGCTTGGTTGACGGACCGGCCTCATGCGATTGCCCGATGATGATTAAGAACAAGACCAAGTCCTGATGGAATGGTATTGGGTCACAACAGGACAATGGTACTATAAGGTTTTGATCTTTTTGTGCTGTCAGAATTTAGATTGTTCTGCCCCGACACCCCGATGCCCTCCCAACTAAGAAACTGGACATTGGCGTTTCGGGCGCAGTCTTTCTTTCAGCGTCTGTCAATATTTATTTGATCATTGCAGCGGTTCTTGTGCGCTTGTTCATCACATCTGCAAACCATTCGTGTCGACCTTTTCACAACTGACAGCAGTCCTTGCTGCGTTCCAAAGCTCGACCACAGTTCCCAGCTCCATCGTCAAACGACAGACCATCCCTCCCGCCTACCTAGGAGCAATCGTAAGTGTGACATGCAACGTGCACGACCGTGCTGCTGCCAAAGCCCCAGCGTATTGCTCAGCCCACTGTCGATTTGGACCCCACCTGCACTTCACTTCGTCGCCCAGCGCTGCCCCACCGCCCGGGAGCTGCCGGTTGCCAGGGCGCCCAATCCCAGCGCACTTGAGCCCCACCTTCCAGATCTTTCCGCCAGATTCAGTGGCCCCCCTTCGTTTCTAAGCGGCTCCCAATACAGACACGGGGCCCCGTCAATTTAATATCGACGGACCCGTCGATATTATGTAAGCATGCCCTGCGCGCTGGCACCAGTAATCAAGATATTCGCATTTAGATATAACTAATATAAATATTTTGAATCGCAATAACTACTTCTCGCGTTGTAACCATCATGTAACCATAAAATAAGCCGAAATCTGCATATGCAATATTAAAAACCTATAAATCAATCATACAAAGACCGCTGTTGCTTGAATATCTATACCGCCACCGTGTCCCTCAATATATTCGCGATTTTTTAACGCATAACTATAAGGAGATTATTAATCTCTTCTTTCGCCAGGTATACAAGGTGCCCAAGGAGGCGGACCAGTATATAGATTTGCTAGGTGCGATATAGTTAAAGAGTTGCAAAAGCATCTCTCGGGTTATCTATATTCTGTTCTGAAAGCATGGCTTAAGCAGATGGTTACAGAATGGTTACAATGCGAAAAAGAAAAGATTTGCAATACGAAAATAAGTGCAATGCGAAAATGGTTGAAATTACTTTTATTCTTGATTACTGGTGCCAGCGCGCAGGGCATGCTTATATAATATCGACGGGGCCCCGTGTCTGTATTGGGAGCCCGACTTCAGGCTTCTACCCATTTGACTTCGGTCAGCTTCACGCACGACAAGCATTCTTTTTTCCCTCTTACCACGTCGCGCATCACGCCGTCAAACATCACTCGACCACCCCCTACGACCGTCGCGACCATTCGTATTCCATCCAGCGACGATCCAGAGTGTCCCACCTTGCATTCCTCTCGCCGACCTTCTTAAGATTACCGGGCGCCGCGACGCTGCTTCCTACTCGAACATCAATTGCGACAGCAGGACCGCGACAATGGCTTCCCAGGACCACGAGAGAACTCGGTAAGTTCAAGCAGCAGACCGGTGCCGGATCCATACTCACCGTTGTCAGATCATATCCATTCGCTCCTGAAATTCTTGAACTACAACTTGGAGGAGGATCAAAGCTATGTTAGTTTTTCCATTGCCCCTGTCATATCTCGACCGCCAATAGTCCATTTAACTAAACTTGTTAATCTAGATGTTTACGATTTCGATCTTTTTCGAACAGGAGCTCATAAGCCGTCCTTCCGGTCATCGGATTAGTATATATAATCACGCTCCAGATATGAAGCGACTCATCAGTAAAGTAGTATCAAAGAACTTTTGGGAGCCAGTAGTCCGCAAGAAGCACAGTGCTGTAGAACTGGGGGACGAAGACCAAAAGGAAGATGTAGATGAGAGCGCAATGCTTATTCTTGGTAAGTTGCCGCTCGAGTCACGTATGAAAACTGAATCGAGCTCACCAAGTACGAACTAGTGTCGGGATCTGGGAAGCTTCGTGATGAAATCCGAAAGCACGCCCAACCATACCTAGCGAGGGATATTGTACTAAAGGAACTTGATTTTCTGCTCGAATGATCTTGTGGGATGCGAATCGGCTTTCTCGTACAGACGCGTAACATTGTTTGCATACTCTCTGAGCCTAATTGATATCAAGAAGCAAAGAAACCCTTACGCAATATCCTTGACTATTCGACAATTTTCGTCAACCACACACAGTCGTTGCCATGATTCGGATGTGTCGTAACCCATTGGACTTTGTCCCAGTCAGGTGCTCAACTTGCCCTGTCGACTGATTTTCCTGTAATGGGATACTGTTCTGTGCCAGGATACTGTTCTGTAATAGGCTACTGTTCTGTAATGGGACACTGTTCTGTACCAGGATACTGTTCTGTAATTGTGATGGCAGCTGTCCACCTACAAGTGTCTAATCGATATCATGCTCCCTCGTCCGCAGAGTCTACAATGCCTCTCTATTTCAGCCTGGACTGTAAGTGTTGCAACAACAAGGTTTTGATCTGATCGATGCGGTCTGATGGCCATATTCGGCTACGATGGAATACCGCCTTTGCTTCGAAAAATATGCATCTGTCCCTTGCAAGGTCTTTTTTATTTTATACAATTCCGGAAGAGAATCCTTATTGTGTGTAGGATAGAAGGGTATCCCAACACAGAAGAGTATCTCGTCACAGAACAGTACCCAAAAGCACAAGAGTACTTCAAAATGAACATGACAGAAGAGTATCCCGTCGGCTACCGTGTCGACTTCTCGCATCCATTTCAACCCTTTTCTGTTTTCCTTCTCTTGAAATACATACCTTGGAATGGACGGGTGCGTATTCTTCAAATACAAAGCGGTGTAGCACATTGATTCCAGGCTCGAGGCATGGGGCTGAGCTCAATCAATTCTATAGACGCCAGGATATTTTTCTGTCCTTTCAGTTCTGGGTAACCCTTCTGGGATGCTAGGATACTCTTCTGTACTTAGATACTACTTTGGGATATTGGGTTATTCTTCTGCGCCTTGGATACTCTTCTGTGATGGGACACTGTTCTGTGCTAGGATACTCTTCTATGCTGGGCTACTCTTCTGTGCCTTGAATACTGTTTTGTGCTAAGATACCCTTCCGGAATAGTGTTCTAGGTTACAGAGACAATCAAAATCGGCTTCTATGTACTTGTTGTCCTCATCTCTTGTCTTTGAGGACGGACGATCCATATCCGGCGCTGACATTCATGTACATCAGCCAGACCCACCTGGCATTGTCATCAATGAGTACTTCGGCAAGCCAGTGGCACTTAAGCTGAAAGTAGAGAATTGCTTGTTGACCAGAGCCGATTTTGGCTGACTGAAGTACTCATTCATGACAGTACTAAGTGGGCCTGGTCACGGTACATATAGGTCGGCGCAGAATATGGATCGTCCGTGCTCAAAGACGAGAGAAGAAAGACAAAACAAGAAGCCAATTTTGCTGGTCTCTGTACTGTATCCCATTACAGAAGAGTATCCTATTACAGAAGAGTATCCAATTACAGTACAGAAGAGTATCCTGTGACAGAAGAGTATCTCGACAACAACCACTGCGCCTCTAACACTCTAGAGTGGACGTCCTTCCGACATACGACCATTAGATAGAACATTATGATCATTTCAGAATGGCAAATATCAAGGGGTTGCGGAAAGACTCATTTTCGAACTTTCGTCTGCAGTTTCATGTCGACTATGGCAATAAATAGCAAAGATCTAAAAACGTCTTACACAGAAATATCACGTTTGTCGCAACGGCCGTGCTTGGCCAAACCCTGCTTCTCTGCCAAAAAGTTCAAACGTGCTCGTTTTTACACTTCTGTCCATGCCACAACCACCGACTTGAACACGGAAAAGAACACTTAGAAGGGACCAGGGACATCAAAGACTTACACAGTCATCAATTCGTCACCGATCCGACTACTGGGCGGGCGGCCACAGGACATGTCTACCTGGTGAAAGTGGCCCGTTCTCGCGACAACCTGTGACACGGTAATCTGTAGCTCTTGCACCGCGCTAGTGGTGGGGTAGCTGTCCGATTATAACGCTAAGCATTTAAGTGGAAATTACAGACATTCGAGCGTTATGTGATAGTTCTTGATACGCTCGCTGGACCTGACTGAGCTTCACTATGCTCCAATCAAATTCGAGAACGTGGCCGTCTCACACCAACAACAAAATGATCCAAAAGCCATGTCCCCAGCCTCAACTAGGCATCCCAATCCAGCTCAATGCTGAGCGCTAAAGCGCCAAATTCAGCTATGCAATTGTATATGGGGAGCAAAAGCCATTAATTGATTGATTATCGAACATCACTTTTACGATCTAAAAGTGGGAGAAACAACGTCTTCGGATTGTTTCTTTCCCATTTCACAGAGCATCTTAAGGATCAGCTACAGACCTTACTCAGCTAAGTGCGACAGTATTTATTAGTGTGCGGTTCTTTTTCGAACTATCAGTTGCTGGCAGCTGCGGCTAGGCTGTATCCCTGGCCTTATCTCCGTAGGATGGCTTTTTTTAGTGTGCTAACACAGGTTTGTTTTCCTGAACCACTAAAGAAATCTTTCCATAGTACAGGCCGCAGATAATACCACTTCCAGCCAAATTATATACTAGAACTTCCGCGTCCCGAATGCCACGAACTAGGTCGAAGCTGAAGATTGATGTTACGAACATGCACCCTTGCCGCCCAAAGACAAATGCAGGAAGATGGGGACACGGCCACGGAGCCGGGCCCTCAGCTAAGGTCACGTGATCAACTTGGATCACTAGGTCTTGGTAATGATCCAGCATTCCAGTAGTGCAGGATCACCAACCAACGTAGGTGATCCAAGCAAACATTAGTGAGGGAATGAATGGGTATATAACGGACGGATTTCTTAATCTACATAGACAGTTATTACCTTAGTGATCAATCTAAGCATCTATCTTACCTATACAGCAGCCAATCAAGCCTTGACGACTACACTTGTGAATCAGTCCTATAATTACTCTTCCTTAGTATAGTTGTTATAACTATCTCTATGATCTAATATCCAACTATCCAACGTGTTATGAGACGAAACATAATGAGTATGATTAATGCCCAGGACAATCTGGCGACGATCGACACATTCTTGCATTAAATCGATAGCCTCGACGCATCGGCATTGCCTTTCCCAAGTAAAAGCAAGGTTAGCCATGCTGGTCAGCGTGGAAGGATGATCGGCTCCTAGTTTTTGCTTGCTCGTCTCCATCACTTCCGCGTCTAGCTTCTCTGCCGCGTCCTATCGACCCTGACTCTAAAACGTCGCTGCATGGAACCATCTGTTTTGCATGTTTTCAAAGTATTTTTGTGTCGTATAACGCACTAATCGGACAACGCTGCTCGCTTCGTCGATTGTGATCAGTCCTGCACAGACGGAAACCATGCAATCTCTGTAAATTATTGGATTTCGTAGTTCCTTTCAACGCCGGGTTAAAGGTGTTTGTTTATGCTGAATAATATATCTGAATTTATACACGTTGCTAATATTCCTGCAACGATAATGTGTGGGATGTTCCGAGACAACGGGCACCTAATCCGTGACATTCCAGACATATGGCATAAGTGCCACGTTCGCAGTCGGCACGCCTATACCATGAATCATCCAAAGAGGCCATGCAGACATCACAAAACCCTTCTTCCGAAAAATCGTTTGGAAATTTCATGGGCTCTCCGATTATAGCTAGCCTTCGAGGTCGTGTCGGGTCCTCGTCCATAGGCGGATATGCTCGACAATATCACTTGCAATGTCGATATGCCCTTGCTTCTGAGCCCACCAAAGAGATGTCCGACCAAAATTCTCTCCCGCGTGCAAGTTAATACTAGGCATAGTCGCGATCTTTTCGAAAGATTTTGAGAGTCCAAGCCGAGCAGCGAAGGAGATTGCCGTTGCACCCCAGTGATCTTTCGTATTAATGTTAAGTCCAGGTTTCCCAAGTAGGATGTCTACCACTCTGAAGGAATCATGAATTGCTGCGTACGTAAAAGCCGTTCGAGCAAAACTATCCGTTACTCGATGGTTTGCGCCAGCGGCAAGAAGAAGGCATACTATGTTTTCGTGACCCTGTCTAGCAGCTACTAATAGTGGAGTTAAAGCGTCCTGGGACACATTAACGTCGGCTCCCTTGTCGAGCAGCAGCTGTACGATTTCTCGGTGTCCTCCAAATGAAGCGGCCTGCAGAGCGTTGCCGTGATGTCCGCCCTGGACATTAATGTCGGCTCCCTGGCTCAGCAACATGCTGCCACATCGTGATAGTCCTATGAGTGAGGCGTAGTACAGGGCGGGTGCTATGTTATCCCTTCCAAGTTCATCTTCCCAAGGCCTGTCCGGGTTATACAGACGACACCAACTTTTGAGTAGTAATCGGCTTAAAAAGAGCTCTCCTACGAGCTTGAATACATGTTCGCTATTTTTCTCGCCCACAACACCATAGCTCACCCAGTATCGTGCTGAATATTGGGCAAAGGGAGAAACCTGTTTGATCTCTCTCGTTGTTTCGACTTCTTCAAATTCCAATAGATATGCTAAGCAAACTTCAGCAACGGAGCTGTGGGCAGCCGTCTCCTGCAAATATAGAGCAGTCTGACTGTCTAGACGATCCGAGGTAAGGTAGTCTTTGACGGAGAAATGCGCTAGCTGGATCTCTGTTACCTCTTGCTCTTCGCCGTATCTACCCTGTCTTGAAATAAGCACGACAAGGCTTGAGCAATACCGGGTAATCTCTCGGGGAACTGGCAATCTGTCGTTGGGATCAAATCGACACCCCCGAGCTACACCCTCTCCGACATCGACGGCAATTGCATCGACCGCCTCCTCCAGTCGCAGCGGTCGTTCGGAATATGTTAGAAACTGCAGAATCCGTCTTGTGTGGTGTATATGGGCTGAAGGTACGTTTGCCAATATCCGCTCGTACGTCTCGTCCAGCGTTTGTGGCAGGCTTTGAAGTGCTTTTAGCAGAGCTTTCCGTTCTAAGCAGTCTTCCAGAGCGTCAAGCTGACATGACACCCGGCGAAACCTATTCGAAATTAGCAACGGAGCACAACACTGAAGTTGAACTCAAGCCTCTTACATTCCGTTGGCTTTCTCGAGCAGACTAGCCTCAATCTTGTCTTGAATCTCCTTGTGTCCACGCCACCGACTAAGACCTTCGTGCTCCCGAACTCTATCCTGCACGTAGTTTCGGATATCCGCCTCTAGCAAATCGTTTCGTATAGCGATAATCTGGTCGCCACTTGCGTAACGTTTGATGGCCGCCAATTGCTTGAAAGTGAGGCATACACGACGTGGAAGACGGGAGACACCTCATTTCTTTGGCTTCACGGCATCCCTGGATGTGGCAAGACCATCCTGACGTCTACTGTCATCGAGGACCTGCAAAAAAGCCAGAGTCATGCACAGACGCTGCTCTACTTCTACTTCGACTTCACAAACAGTCGAAAGCAGTCCTTCGAGAACGCACTCCGCTCACTCGTACGGCAAATCTACCACCAGAATGATGCTGCTCGAAAGCATCTCGACTCTCTCTACTCGTCTGCTTACCAGAACGGAGAAGTGCAGCCGAGTTTTGATTCTTTACAGAAGGCTTTCACCGAAATGATAGGCAACCTTGGAGAAGTATGGATCGTTCTTGATGCGCTGGACGAATGCACGCCACGAGGCGAATTGCTGGCTTAGTTGGGCAGTGTCAACCAAGACCTTTCTGTACAGGTCAAGATGCACCTCCTGGTAACAAGTCGGCCAGAGCAGGATATCGAGTCGACCAGAGCCTGGATGACGAACCTTGATGGCCTTGTTGAAATTGGAGGAACCGTCAGGTGAGGCTAGCCATTGCCTGATGTCGTTGGAATGTGTATCTATACGCATACTTTCGATCTCAGCGTGCGTGATTTCCATCTTCAGATCGATACTCTCAAGCTTGGAATCAACTTTTGATTTATCAGGACGAGGACCATTCTTATGTCGGAAGACTACATACCGTCGGGAAGAACCTCGACCAGTTTCTTCTCGGCTTCAACCTTATTTAGAGAAATCCTTTGAGAAGATCTTTGGCATAGGCAGCCGCGGCCATTGCCGCATAGCCTTGCCATTGCTTGTTTTTGTGGGTATCGGAATAGTCGCAGATACCACGAACAACCAGATAAGGGAAGTGATTTATCAGCCCAGCTGCTTCCATCTCGAAACACAGGATATTACTCTCGGCCGAAAGCTTGTCGCGCAGATTCGCATCCTTCATAAGTTGATTTGCTGAAGCAATAGTTCCATAGTGGATTATAGGACTATCTTCTTCGCCGGATCGTTCAGCCCTCTCAACCAAATGCGTAGCGCCACACATAGCCGTGGCTTCGTCTCGAGAATACGGGCGATTCTCGTATCGATACCGTTGCCATCGCTTTCGTAATCAGCCTCAAGGAGGGGTATCGTCGTAATCAGCCTCAAGGAGGGGTATCGCCCTTAATAGGCACTGCGGCGACTGATTTAGGTGTCCAGTCACCTTGAAGCTCTCGTCTTGAACAGTCTTGCCGAAATCGTATTGAAGCACGCCCCCGATTCCCGAATCGGGTGAGCTCACGACGATATCGCCCAGCCGGATATCGTGCCTTTGACTTGGGGCGCCACCGCCGATGCCAACCATCAATTGACCTAGCTCAGCGCCTTGAAGAAGACAAGTCGATCAAGGATATGTTATCAAAACCCCGGAACATGCCTAAACGTTTGGTCTTAGCTTTTCTAAAGCGGCGTAACCAGTGCTACTGTTGCTTGCTAGGCGCCCACTTACTACGCCGGGCTTGGCCTGGCTACCAAGTGAATATCGTACGATGCATGCCTTAGGTCTAACTTTAGCGCCAGAAATGTTTCTACAGTAATAACGAATCATGTACTATCGAATCTAAAGTATAATAGATAAGTGCCGACTTTGGCTGGCTAAACTGCTTATGAATAATAAGACCAATTGAGTCTAGCCGAGGCACATAAATGTCAGCGCCAAGGTTTGGATCGTCTAATCAAGGCCAATGGATGAATAAGAATTCTACCTCATGCATGCATTTGGTATCGCAATAACAAATATCGCACGGTCTTTTAGCCAGGTAAAGTGCAACAGTACAGGGATATGATTTTGGTGATGCAGATCTTGAGGCCACATTCCGCTGTGCTGCTGCTCTACTTTCAATGGCCAAGCTTTGTACCAGAGAATTCTCCCATATACTGATTATCTTCGTTCCAATTCTAGCATCAAAATGTCTCCTCTAGCGCCAGAAGCTGGGCTCGAAATCCCAGACCAGAGTTCTTGTTCATCTCCACCGCCAGCCATGTTGGTACAAATTTGGCCGGTCTGAAATCGAAATGCTGTAGGATTGCCCCGAGAGCCGGTATGTGCGGGCGCGAATCGGCGATACGCAGCGTGGCCTGAAACTATCGCGAAGTCGACCAGGTTTGACGATGACCAACACGATATCCTTCTGTATCCTTGGGTAACTAAGGACAAACACAGGACTGCAACTGCAATTCCAGCCCAAATCCAGACCCCAGCCTGGCAGATCGTTAGGCTCCACATAAAAGAGCATTTGCAGCTCCATGTCCCGGTATTTCGTCGAGTGGTTGGTGACCGTTGCAATGAACGCATGCCGTGCGCCTCATGGGCGAGCGAGCGAGCACGCTTGACAGAAAACGGAAAAAATTTGCCCCCAAATGCACGAGGCCTAGAAATCCATGGTCGCATACTTTTGTCTCTGCCTTTGTATCCACGCCTGTCAGTAGGCATTGGAAACACCCAAATAGCAATCTGTTCATGTCCCAGTCCTGGCAACATGACTCGTGACTCGTGCGTTGTAATAACGATATCATTTTTTGTCTGCTGGCGATGCATCGGCTATTTTGATGACAACAGGATCTGAAAAGCTAGCCGGGAGGTCCGATGTTGAGGTTCCAAAGTGCACCCATACCGTAGTGGCAGCAGTACACTTGTAAGTGTCCAACCGATTTATGCTCCTTCACAGCGCTTCCAGTGTGCATGGTTGGTTTCATGTTGTTGTGAAATTTGTTCTGCTTCGTTCGAGAGTGAATGTGGCGTGAGTAGAGGTTCTTCGGCCAATGTTGGAAGTGTCATGGAGGCACAGGATCCGTCTGGCATCGTCACTTGTGTTACTTTCTCGTTGCAACGTTCATATTCCGACAGTTTGGTACACTAAACCACGGTCAGGGAAGCTCCACGACATGTAAACCCTTGTTGTCCTTCGGACAGAAGAGTATCTACAAAAGAGTGTCTATAGACTATTGAGTGCAGCCTCAAAACCTAAAGCCTGGAATCAATGTGCTGCAGTACCTCGAAGGCCTGGGAAGTCCCAGTATTATAAGCAGGGGATGTTGTCCGTTTCAAAGACGGCGATAGATTTCGAGCGCTAAGGGCTAGACAGAGGCGAGACACAGAAGGAAGCTATGACGCCCCAAGTCCGGCGTTATGCCTATGCGGCAATGCTCCAGTTGTACGCCGAAACCTGGATGGCTAGGGCCTTGTGGTCTGCACTAAACATAATGGCCAACGACGCTAAGAAAGGATGGACGTTTGTCCAGTGAAAATCTTAGGACTCATATATTGCAGTATTTGCGAATATAAGACATCATTTGCCGGAATGCCGAAGATGGCTTCGAGTGCATATATTCATACTGTAGAAGAAATAGCAAGTACTTCGAGTAATTAGCCTCTTACTAGGTACTTCTCCATGTACTGCGCTTTTTAGGATGCGCAGCTCTCTATTCGTCTATTAACAGGTCCTTCCCGTTAGCATCATGATCGCTTCTCTGCAGGGTGATGATGATGATGACCGTAGGAAAAGCGAGTAACTGCATAGGAACGGTAGGATAATCGATTCTCGAACTATTAGTATATAAAGTAGACCTTCCGCTGCAAACTCTTCATAAGAGTCAATCTAGCCATTTTACTTCACCATTGCCTGTTCCGGCTGTGCGTAGCATGCCCCGTATTCACGCTAGGTACTATAGAACTTGTGGCAACAGCCGGTGACGATCTCAAAATGATTTTATCATTCTGGTTGTCACGACTATGCTGCCCTATTACAACTCATTGCGAGAGTTCTTTTCTTTGGCCAGCCCCCGCTTCTGGCCGCCTCAGCAGACGGCCAGATAAATATGGATCCCATTCCTAGAATAAATTCTGATACCCTTCTTTGGTAGCCCGATAGACCACAATGCCTGGAGCCGCTGCATTGGAGGGTCTCGATACGGTAGCAGTAGTATCGAAGTCCCCTTCTGCAGCCTTGAGGCTATCAAGCATGATGAATGTATTGATACCGTCGTTCCTCTTCGACGTGCCCATATTGGCCCGTGGTATTCTGGGGAGTTTGGAATAATCGAAACTGTTCTCGCCAAAATTGGTGGTATACTGCGAGACCTTGCCCTGAGAAACACCAAACAAAAGAGATTTGAGCACTGGCGCGCAACCGCAAATGACGCTCAGGTTCACCTCGACCGCGGCCCAGATCCAGAGGTAGAAGCCCTCCCACGTCACATCGTATGTCTGCACCTCGACGTGGTAGATCCAGTACGAGCGCATGCACCCGGCCACCACTACAACGGAACCCAAGCCAAAGACTGTCATCAGGCCTATGCGTTGGGTCAGGGGCAATTTAAGAGCCCACAGCGTCGGCATCGGCAAAATATATACGACAAAGTCGGTAATAACTGTCACAATCGTCTGGCCCATTAATGGCGGTGCCTCCGGGATACAGTCTCGCTCCGGTGCAAAGAGGTTCCAATACGACGTGGAGGGTCTGTCAGTCATAGGTGAGCTTTCCTTTCTCCGATCGTCACCAAGCTTCATCATTACAGGGAGAGAGAGAGAGAGAGAGAGAGAGAGAGAGAGAGAGAGAGATGACTTACATGCACTGCAGCCATAGTAGCAGCAGGAACACAGGTATCGCAACAGTTACGATTCCAATGGTGGCCCAAGTCACCTGCCTGAACAGAGATCCAGGGACCGCAATACGCAAATAGCTGACCAAAATCGAGAGCTTTACCAGACCGGACGCGAAGACAAAGATTGTTTGCCCAGCTATTGAGATTTTACGACCCTGAACGATCTCTTTGAATGTTAAGTCCCAGACATGGATATTCCAGCCATATAGTTGAGTAGCTGTTTGATTTTATGTTAGTCATCATCAGCATTATTGCAATGTCAAAATAATTGCCCAAATCCAAGTTTTGGTCCTGTCTGGGTAGTTTCACCTACCGAGTATAACAGACACCGTCACGCCACAACAAAAGAATACGGCGGCCACCATGAGCCAGTCATCCCAGCCGCTTCCCTTGATCAAATGGACTCGAACGTATAATCGCAAAGCCACACAAATGATTGCAAGCGGCAACGCAACTAATTCGACAATCAAAAGTGCCGGGCCCCGATTCTCCGGATTCTCATAGTTGGGCTTTGGCCACGAGGCCATTACCTCCGGCGAAGGAAAACGCATCTTTTCCGCAGATATCGATATCGAGCGTCGTCTTAAGATGTTGCAAGTTGGAAAGGTTGCCCACAACGCCGAAAATCCACGAAACACAAATGGAACATCAATTATGCTGCAGCCAGGATGTCGGGATCAGAAAAAATACGTTGTTATATAAGGCGGTCATTATTGAAGTGAGCACTCAAAGTGCCGGGATTGTCGAGTCACGACCCTTTGCGTCATCGAAGACTAAGGTGTGATAGGTCAATTGCACTCCAATGCGGGGCCTGTTTGCGAGACTATTTCGGTAGTAACCTTTTGCTGTTAGGGTGGCTTCAAACCATACAGGAACCCTGGCCCGAGTAATTGTCATTGTGATAGCTTAGCGGCAAGTAGGTGCATGTGTAAGGTGCTATTAGAGGGAACCTCAACAGAAACGGCGCTGCTTGGCAACACGCGATGGTATCTTCATAATCCCTAGCTAAGCTCGAGGCGTCTTGGGCGGAATTATTTCTTCTATCAATTCCTTCCGAGAATTCTAAGATCTTTGGGAGATCATAAATAATAGACGTTCTGCCGGGCAAAAGAAACAGTTTGTTGCTCGGTGGAAACTATGATTAGTAGGCTGACAGCAGGAAGCAGGAAGAGCTGCTAACTGTTTTTAGTGCAAGCGACCGCTTAGGTGATGTAAGCGTTAATGCAACGCCATTAGACTTTCGTTCATTACAACGTACGGTACCTTCAACCTATTATAATGAACCCGCACTATGGAACTCTAAATTTCCATACTTTTTATGTATTCGGCAGCATAACTGAGTGCACGACTATCACCCGAAGAATTGCAGAGACCCTGTTGCTTTTTGGTCTTGGCGAGTGTTCGTTGCAGAAATTCTCGGCTCGAGTTTCTTCGGCAACTTAAATCACGGATGGCAGGAAGCTCGTTAATCTACATAAGAGTTCAATATAATCTTATGGCAGTCGATGACGCCCCTATCTAGCTAGACCAGGAAATATGCACGGATGATACCAGCGACGCATAAACTGGTGGTTTCGTGCTGTCAGTAGTTATGGCGCAGGTATACGGAACGCAACAAGAAGGAAAGACTAGGCCAAACAATTATTAGCTCCCCTCCCCTTTTTCTTTCTTTTTTGCGACTCTTGTAACTACCCGCCGGTTGTGATTCCCACCATATGAGCAGGAGCATTATGAGAACTTTTTGAATTAGTTAGGTTAGCAATTAGTTCTGCCGCACTAGAGAGGAAAAACGGCTTGATGGGCCTTGATCGAGAATGATGGGGTAGATATGGGATAAGTAGAGTCAACTTTGGCAAATGCGCCCATTCACCATGTGAGCTGAATAAGAGATGCAAGAGCACAACAGTCACAGGCGCATATAGATTCAACGCCATGAACCATAATTCCCCGGGTGAGCCAGCCGCATGGATTTCATCTTCAATGCTAGGAGAGACTTTACTGGATGACGACTAGGCGCTTTCAAAACCCATGGAAGACAGGACAGGATTGTTGGTTGGCGGTGTCTAGTCCATCTCCGCTACCCGTCATAATTGGCGCTAACGAGAAACAGCCTGGCTGTTCGGTGGTACATAATGCTTCCGTAGATAAGATAGCAAAAAGACAGACTTACTATAGTTGACATCCACTTGGAGGTTGATTTTCTTATAGAAAGGACTACAAGCAAAAAAAAAAAAAAAAAAAAAAAAAAAAAAAAGA